AAGTATAAATATTAAAAAAAAATTATTAATGATTCAATTATTTGTTCACTCTTGAGACTGTAAATATGCCAAAGTGTATATACACTGCTGAGGGGTGTGCGATAGACTTACCTCCACGTGGTGCACCCTGGGCAACGTATACTCATACGGCAAAAAAGTCTATTAACCGGCAGTTGACTTCTGACTTCAAACTACCATGACCCCCCTTTCACAGTACGCATCTTACCTTATTCTCTACCTTTGTGTCTGTCTGCCTCTTTTACATCTGTGAATCGCTCTTCTGATCCCCACCCCTCGATTTTCTGCTACTTTGATGAACCTTCCTTCTGTGAAGCCCGAAGTCAGCTAAATGGGTGATGATTGCTATCATAACGCCTGCCATTTGAAATAAACTATTGCATTCGATATTAATTGGAACAGAGGATTGTTACTCTCTACAGTAACCTACTTGTGGAAATGTTTGGTGTCAATATTTTAGTCATTCTTATTTGAATTTCTTGATTTGAATTGTTGATGTTACGAGTTTTACTTATAAATTAATCACTTTATGATGTGATTGTCCAAAATCACTTATTTTGGAATGAAAGATAGGACAATTTTATCCAACTCGTAATTTATTTTATATATATGTATTCTGCTGTCACATGGTTCCGAAATGCATTCCTAAAAAGAGAAAACACTTGGGAAATTCTCACATTTGTGACGCTTTTTTGTTTTTAAAGCAGGTAATATATCGACTCCTGCAAGCCCACTTTTCACGATTAGGAAGTAGTAGCTAGTAGGCAGTAGAACACGCAAAGTTAGTTAAATACAGAACTAATTTAATTATGACCTTGAAGCACACAACCGAGTCAATAATTTGCATATATGGAAAACGCAGAAAATCGCAAACAACCACAAAATAATATTTTTTTTCCAAGTGGAAATATTTAGTAAAATGATTCCCTCACATTGCCATAATATTTCTACCTTGGCAATGTTCCACAAAAATTCGGCGCGCTGTGAAATGGTAATTTGAGAGATTAAAAAGTTCCGTTCCGACATTTATAGTCGCTGAATTTGTAATAAATTTGTGTGGGATGATCTTATTATTAAACCCCGCAGTTTAGACATCTCGAAATACATTAGAAAGACAGCGGGCGGTACTGTCTATAGATGTTGATGTTACTTTCCTAATTAATGCAAATAGAAATAACATCATTGTACCTCAAATTCGATCGACTCACTATGTTTGAGTCTCTATTAATTAGTCTTGTTTACATGGCACCGCAGACCCACTTTGGCTCTATCTCCTTAGTATTTTGCACAACTTTCCTTTATTTCTCACCTCTTTTCGACCTTTTCGTTGGGAGTATTTGTTTAGTTCGTAGTGTATACGCTTATGAGAGGAACATTCTTCAATTCGCAATAACGTTGGTGCCTTAGTAGTGGGAGAGTGCATTAACTAGTTAGTATCTAAGAGAAGAGAATCCTAAGACGACTATTTATACTGGAATTATACAAGGGTGAGCTGTTTGCCCTTTATATATTTTGATCAACCCTCCATTTAATCATTTTAACGGCGTACTTCCAGGCAAATAACTGACTTTCAAATTTAATAAGGTGCCAAAAAGTTGTATGTCCAGGAAGGTATTATAGGGATCTTCCTGTTGGATCAATTTTTTTGGAAATCGACCGTTTGTCGTTTTTTAAAGTTTACGTGCTTCTAAAATGTTCTCAAATTTCATCTGCCATGGCTTTTTTTGCCGATCTTTCAGAAAGGTGATTAAACAAATCTGGAACTTTTAGTATTAAGCACGTAGGCGGGAAATTTTTCCATTTTATTGTCAACATCAGGCTGACTACATTTGCCATTAATGCGCTTTCTTCGCAAGAGATATTTGTGAGTAAGCATTGTTCCAATTATAAACTTCTAATTCCTTTCGCAGTCAATACATAATTAGTACGTAAATTAGTTGCGCATATACAAAATGTGCAATGCTATACGCTGAAGCCCCCCGCCCCGTGTATATTTACTGAAGTGGTTTTATCCTATTTTATTATATTTATATCAAATGGCAGGCGTTTTGATAGTTATCATTACCCCTTTAGTTGACTTCAGGCTTCACAGAGGGGAAGAAACTTCAAAGTGTAAAAAAGTCGAGACGGGGGGGAACAGAAGAGTGTTTCAAAGATGTAAAAGAGACAGACACAAAGGTCGAGAGTAGGGTAAGGCGAGTATTGTGAAAGTGGAGGAATATGTCACAGAGTGGGGTCATGGTAGTTTGAAGTGAGAAGTCAACTGCC